GCGAGGGACCAGTGATACTTTATATAAATGGTACTGGAGTACATAATAGGCGTCAGAGTAGATTTCCGCGCATTGAAGTGTTTACTTTGTCAAAGTTTGTCATCTCTCATTGTGTCCAGATTCATCATCTCTATATTCAGCACTCGAAACCAATACCTCCTAACGACTGATTCTCCTTTTAAGTCTATAAAACGTATTGGCAACAAAGATTCGAAAGATGGTTCTTGCCTTCATATTCATCATCTACGACTGTGTGATTGATTACGTGTGGCACGTACGTTATATACAGTCCAATCGACCTATCCTGCCTGATCCAAGATAACCTTAGGTACTTCCTGAACTTGGAGATCAGACACAGGAATCTGATTTCAAACAGGTCATTCGATTTAAACTGCAACATAGAGCTATGCATCTCACTGGCAGAACAGTAACACGTTTCACACAATCTTGAAGGCAAAGATGCATACCTCGAAGTCCTCTGATATCTAAACTCTGGGGGGCATATCTTTGTTATCAGATTTGTTCTACACCTCGTCTACAGATTAAAATACTATGAAGACAAAGGGGAAACCATGTGAGCCTCTTGTGAATGGGACTTTGGTGAAAGCGATATCGAGAATGGGGTCACTAGCTTTACCATAATTCGTGCTGGTGGATGATGTAACGACAAAGTTACACACAAAAATTTCGAAGATAGTGCTAAATAAGTTTTTTCTCGATAGATTGTAGGAGATTTTTGAGTTGGAATTGTGAGTTTATTCTGGACTCTGGACTGTCTCAGATCAAAGATTATTACACAATGAGTGGTCAAGTAAATAAAAAACACACACTATACATCCCCCAGAACCCAATTGCACTTTGAATTGAGAAAAAAATGACATTTTTTGAACAAGATCGTCTTTTAACCTTAGTTGCCGTCGCAATTATCCAGATATCATACCTCGCCTCAGCTCTCCTGAACTTGCAGATCTCCCCATACTTGCTCAGCTAGCTGATTCTCCTTCTTAGCAAACGATTTCTGCTCCTCTGACATTGTTCCACTGATTCTCCTACTTGTTGGTTCATTTGCGTATGTTTTTTCTTTCCCTGTTCAACTCGATTCATAACACGAATTGAGTCCATATACCCATCTTCCTGGGAATCCCTAACATGTATGTGGTTGGTTTCAATTTGTTGAGTTTCATAAAACTGCTACCCCCCATAAAGATGAATTGGGTTTCCGCTGGTGTTGGAAGCTTTCATATTTTAAAAATTTCTTTTTTGGTCACGACATCTTTGGAGGCAAGGCTTGGCAAATGCACTACTCGTATCACGTCCTCTTCTTCGGAGCTCGCTCCTTAATTTACTCCATATTTAGGCTGAGTTCCATGCTGGTCTCTGCCGAGTTCATTTGGATAACCGCAGGTACCTCAATCTCACAAATGACTGCGTCCAATTTGCTGGAAGATGTATCATCTGTCCGTCTAATTTTCCTCTACTGAGACGTCCTAGGCTCTTTGGGATCTGAACTTCCTTACTTTCCCGAGATGTCGACCATCCAAGTCTTGGATACGTTTGCTTCAAACAATAGAGAGATGTAAGCCACTTCTTTCTTGGCTCCCAAAGCTTCTCTCCCATCTCCCATTACGAAGACACTCACGTTATTCACGATGACATAAATCATTTTCTACGGTGAAATTAATGTATTCAGCATATACATTATCTTTTCCTAATCGAATCCTCTACCCGGTGGTACCATTTCGTTCCTTCACATCCAGCCACTTCAAATTTTAAATCATGTGTCCATCACCGATCCATTTTAATCAATTCCATCTCTTTGTCATCATAACCACGCCCCAGAGCTTAGGCGAATCAAGATAATCTCCAAATTTCTGTTAATCTTTACATGTGACATGTTTTTGGGTTATCATGTCACCTTGATAACCCAAAAACATGTCACATATACTAAGATATATTTGTGTGACGTTGACTTGATTCTATCCTTACCTACCTTCGCTGATCACCAACAATCTTGTTGAATCGTGGCTGGCTATCATTGTTTATTTAGTGGATGAGATGACTTCAGTTATTTTGAATGAGGGATGAAGAGTTATGATTCGAAGGAGAGATTACTCAGAGAAAACAAACTTGGGCTAAAGAGACCTTGAAATGGAGAAAAAATTGTGCCACATATGGATGAATATTTGATGTTGAATATAAAATCCACATTCATAAAATTTAAAACTTATTAGCACATGTATATAGTAAATTTCTCAACTAATGCATTTTGGAAAAAAAAATTGTTTCTGTGGAAGCTGTCCAAAAATCTGAAAAACTAAATATTAATGAATTCAGAGAGCACCGTCTGCAAGTTATTTCAAATGTCCACAATCATGACAAAAACCGATACATGAGTAGTGTAGTAGATTCATTGAAGACTGTGTATAAAGCTTAATTTTATCTTATAAAAGGTGATGTATGATTCTCTTCCCAAATGTAGAATGTGACCTCTCTGTTCGTCGTATCAACCATATAATCTGGTCGAGGTAAGTAGGGTAAAATATAATTATCAGAGTCCCCAAAGAATACTAGACTAGGAGAAAGCTAGATTCATTTCAATGCTTTGTGTTCAGATTCATCTAGCTGAATGTGTGATTCAAATCTGACGTGAGAATGTCAAAAACGACCCACCCATACTGTCATAGTCGTTGTATAGAAGCAAAAGGAGACCGTCGACTTCTTTATGTCTCAGTCGCTGTATGGACACAAAAAGCATTGACAAGCAAAGGGGTCAAACGACCCCAATCGAGATGACAATATTCTTTTGGCAGTTCGACCAACTGCGGAACTCATGAGTGGCATGGCGCAATCCCTTACGCACCGGTCGGGCAAATTTGTACTGAAGCGAATAATGAGAATGTTCCAACGACTTGGAATGAAGTCAGACCTATGCCTAAGCACTCATTCAAGAACTCAAGAACATGAGACCGAGGTGTGCTGCAGCCAAGGAAAAATGAAAATTTGAAACAATATTTCCTGAAGTCGATTACAGTCTCTCGCTTTTGGAGTCGCTTTACATCCACTCAACGATTACTCAACGGAGAGTCAACATAAGTCAGTAATCAACCAGAACGATGTAGCATTCCAGATTTCTTCCGATCAAGTCTCTGCCACAAACTTCAGTAGCTCAAATGATGACTCTTGTCATATGAAAGATAAGGAAGTATACTTTTCAGTCTGGTCTAACGAGAATTAAAAAAATCACTTTCACTTCAGAATTCGGTTATTGAAAGATCGGAGTCAACAGATATTGCATTATAAGTGTTCAACTCTGACGGCACTCCTACCTAATAGAAGATGCTTCATATCGGAACAAGCTCTGGATCTCGAGGTAGTCAGTATCCAGATATAAACTGACCATAAAGAAGTATGTTCAAACCAAATAGCATCCCGAGACGTCTTCATATTATTAGCCCATAGGCTGTGACTGGATCAACGACGAGAAAGATGTTCGGGGATACAGCAACCGTGAGTACATATATCTGGGGAAAAATCTGAACTTTGCTCAACTTTGTCATGATTCTTTCAAGTGAATTACAAATCAAGTGTTACTAGTGTCATCCACTAAAGTCCAGAGCTCCTCTGCAGACCTCAGAATACTGTTTAGTTCGATGAATGGTGTCAAGTTTATTCCACAGCTTCGGTCATGAAACTGCTTGCATGTCATGTTCAGCGCTTCCCAACGCTTTTCACGAAACGGACAGTTTGCAACTACAAGCTTCCAGATTTAGTTCACGATCTTACGTTCAGCGCTGTGGTAGTTTTATACAAGAAATGAACGTTTATGGGCTGCTGCTGCTCCATCTACTTTTACTTTCAACATGCTGCTTGAAACTACTTACGTTCATGGATGCGATGCTGACACTCGTCGGCCTATTTCTGATTGATGTCACTGTGCGCCTCCAGAAAACACTTCAGCATCATAGGTTCAGACAGAATCAGGGAGAATGTGTATCTCTATAGATACAGCAGACACTAGATGTCACACACGAATGACACATTTGTATGTCACTGACTTCAGACCATAACATGGTTGCATGTATGGCTAGCACTGACGGTCAATCTTGGAAACACTGTATTGTCAATGGAACTGGAAACTTGCAACGCTTGTTCCACTACCTGTTCTTTCTAGCGCTCATGCACTTATATGAAATTATGAAAATATATGTTGTGGCTCATGCACTGACATACCCATGGCATTATTTCACCTGCATTTTCGTTTTTCATTCGAAGTCTGTCTTTCCTTCTCTCGGTGGGACATGATTTAGGGCCTCGGAACAGCCGCATCACCTTGCCTGGAATGAGTTTTCCAGTCTTGTTCGAGAAGAACGTTGGGGACTGTGAGGTTGTCAGTTTGGAGTCTGAGGTTTTTTGTCTGAAACAGATTGCAAGAACCCCAACTCATCGACAGCTCTAGAAGAATCGTGTTCTAGCGTGTTCTTCCAATTCTTACGTACAAGCTTTGCACAGCTTCTGACAGCACTATACTTACTCTGACTCCGATTGTCCAATGTTACAAAAAACGAACTTAAGGCCGACGCACTTCGGCTGAAAGGTAACCGAGGGACAAATCTTCCAATAGGCAAGTATCAAGGTTGCAGCTGACATAGAACAATATCATGGACGAGGTTCCTGTGCACCGGTCAACGATCGAAACGGCCACTGGACAGCAAGACGTTCAACACACTCCTTCGGAAGAACCGTGACAGGTGACAATCAACTTTGAGGGCTCCTCCTTCCACTTCCAACTTCTTCTTCAACCATGGCAAAAATAACCCGATGGCCGAAATAAGACGAGCTTCTCGAGCACTCACGTGAGGGTCACTTTCGAGAGACGAATCAGTAGAAAACAAATCATCCGATCGATGGCGTGGAAGGAATCGGAGGGCTGCCAGGATTCATGGATCGATCTCAAGACGCGGACTAGAACCAGAATCGGACTCGGCAATACAGAATGAGAACAACAGAATTTGTCTTTGTTTCACGATTTTATTAACTATACACGATGATGAGGATGAGGATGATAATGATAATGGTGCTGCGGGTCAAGAAATAATATACATGGTCTGGCCGCGACGGAGACCGATTCTCTCTCTGCTCTCGTCCATCATCTGCTGCCGACGGGCTCTGGCCCGGCCCTCGTCGAGTTCCCGGCGCAAATTCTCGATCGGTGTCAAAGGCTCAGTGGCGTCCGAGTCGCCGAGGGGTGGAATCTATGAACAAGAAACGACTGACAGAACGAGCACTGGTCGAGCTATGGGGGCGAGGCGGGGCTAGATGCGGGCGGGCGAGGCCGGGGGCGCAGGCAGGAGGAGGAGCTTGGAGGGCTCGAGGCGGCGCGAGGCGGCGTCGGGGGCGGGAGGAGGCTCGGGGAGGACGACGGACTTGCTGACGCGCTTGTAGGTGTGCAGCTTGGCCACGACGAGGTAGAGCGCGAAATTGATGACGGCCATGACGCAGAGGAGCCAGTAGTAGAGATCGAGGCGGCTGGTGTTGATGTTCTTGGTGAGCCAGCCGCCGTGCGCGGCGTGGCGAGTGGCGGCGTTCACGGCCGAGACGATGGCGCTGCTGGAGAAGTAGCCGAAGGAGATGGTGCAGAACATGAGCGCCGTGCCGAGCGACTGCATGCTGTCGGGCGCCTCGCTGTAGAAGAAATCGAGCTGGCCCGGGTACACGAAGGCCTCGCCGATGGCCAGAATCACGTACTGCGGCACGAACCACCACATGGAGAAATCGATGATGGCCTTGGGGCGATCCTCGGCGTTCGAGTCGTGCACCACGCCGAGGCGCTTGGCCTCGACCAGCGCCGCCACCACGAGCGAGAGCACGGGCACGGCCATGCCCACGCCGATGCGCTGCAGCGTGCTGATGCCCTTGGTGTGCCCGGTCACCCGGCGCAGCAGCGGCACCATGAACCGGTCGTACAGCGGCAGGAAGCAGATCACCGTGAAATTGAAGGTCACCGGCGCCACGCTGCCCGGTGGCACTTGGAAGTTGGGCCCCAGGTGCCGGTTGCTCGTGCCGATCTGCGCCACGGCGAACGTCGTGGCCTGCGCCAGCACCGTCCAGTAGAAGATGGTGAACAGCCAAATCGGCAGCAGCCGCAGCAGCATCTTCGTGTCCTCCACCTCGTTGATCTGGCACCGCTGCCATGGCCCCGCCTTCTCCGAGCTCGCCAGCTTGGCCGCCTTGTCCAGCACCCTGCACTCCCACCATCATTCATTCATTCATTCATTCATTCATTCATTCGACTCATTTTCACGCTCGAGCTCGATCGATTGTGTCTCAGAGAACAAGTTCGATCAGAAATGGGCCGCCAGCCTTTTGATCCGCTTCTTCCCTCGGAGACGAGAATTGGATTGGATTTTGTGGATTCCACTTCAATCATCGAGCTGCCTGTGTTTTCATTGACGACCGGGCATGCATCTCTCGACTCATCTTGATCGGCAGGCCCCATGCACGCTGGCACCATTTTTCCGCATTGGAACATGGGCTTCGTGCCAGAGCCTGGTTTCGACTCTTTCTCTAAAATCAGTGAAATCATATTCCACTAGAGTACGAGCCCGAGCTGAAGCACCGCCGTCTTCAGTAAGTGCCGACGGAACGACTGAACGACTCACTGAGTGGAAAAGGAAAATATGTGGAAATCGGAGGAGGGAAGAGAATGGTGGAGGTGTGTAGGTGGAAAAGCATACCGCATGTTGTTTGTGTGGAAGGGAACTCGTTGCACGCCGCGGATGCGCATCTCGTCGTAGTACTTTGCGATTTCTTGCTCCGTGAGCGGGGGTTGATTAAAGTTCCGGACGGCAGCAACGAGAACTCGAGCCACCACCAAGAGAGGACTGCCTTGAGGGATTCGGTATCGGTAGCCGCGCCGTTTCGAGACGAGCTGCACGAGGGCCAGGGCCATAATGCAAAGCGGGATTCCGTAACCCCAGTCCCAGCCCACATGGTCCTGCATGTAGATGATCACGGTCGATGCCACCAACGATCCCAGCATCGTCGCCCAGTAGAACCAGTTGAAGTAGCTCGGCAACAGACTGGCCTCCACTGGGTCGCCATCGTCGAATTGATCAGCTCCGAAGGATGACACCGTGGCTTTGATTCCTCCGATGCCCACAGCTATGAGGTATAATCCCACATAGATCGCTGACAGTGCCCCTCCGTGCACGGCCCTGCAATTCAACGGGTCCGGGCACTCGGCGTCTTGGTTATTCAGTGCTGGTATCACCGTCGTCAGCAGCATCATGACAAACCCCTGCACACATTCGTTACCACAACAATTCAGTCCTCCTTCACTCCAAAATTCCATTCTTCCACCACGTTTCGAATCACCTTGTCTGAGAATCGGATCATTGCATGCTCAAATCATACGTTTGTACATGAGGAGTTCAAGGATCCGCCGATTTCGCCTCATGTGTAAGTAAATGGTGGTCGTAATAAACTAAATTGAAATATATATACATATATGAATGAGTGACAAGAGGCCCAATGAGATCAAATTGATGACCGTGGGGACAGCAGATGTTGGAGAAAAGTTCGAGGATGGAGGAAGCGTGTGGTGGACTTACGATCATCTGTGTGCAAGCTGATCCGATCAGAGTGTAGTAGCGTCCGAAGAAAGTGTCGGCCAAGAAGCCTCCCAGGAGAGAGAGCAGGAAGGAGGTGCCCATAAAATTTGTCACCATGTTTGCAGCGTATGGTAGTGGTAACTTTTTCTCCACAATGAGGTAGCTGACAAGGTTGAACTGAGCAGCGGAGGTGGCAATCTTCTCCGTGACTTCCACACCTGCAATTGCATTCACGGCGACATTCTCAACCTCCACTGTAATCCTTGCAGCTAACTGACTTACTGCAGAGAGAACTCGTGAGATAAACGCATCATGTCACATGTCGGATTCTTTCACCAAGCTTCACAAATGTCTCATCATCCCTCAAAATTCAACTTAATTATATGAGAATTTCAGCGCATGCTGCTCAGATATGTACATACCACAAATAAAAGGAGTAACTTTCCATCCTCCAGTCCGGTCCTTGTTGGCAGGTTGACCTTTGTAGTCCACGGTACCATCGTGTGTTAAAAGCCTTAGATGCTCTGGCACCTCTACATCTCTCTCGAGCTCCTCAGTCTTGGCCTGCGAGGATTGCGAAGCAATGTTAAATTTATAGACAAGCGGAGTCCGTAAACTGCGACCTGCTCGCCCAAAGCGCCAAGTTCACTCAGATTCACTCGTCAGTCTTGCTTTTCAAAGATGTCCACTTTTCAGCTCGTTTTTCCATTGGCTGATCATTATCTGCAGATATTAGAAAATTTCAGCAACAATCATCGTGTCTAGTGATGATTGGGCCCGAATCCGCTGGATAACTAGTCCTGTTCCATTATATACATGGATAGAACATGCAAAGGGCTCACAACATTGTCAGTTGCTGTGGGGACGGACCTTCTGCAGCACTAGTGTTAATACTAATACAATAACAACTACTACTACTACACAGCACACACAAAATCTGAGCTACAAAAATGTCACACGGATTGCTGTTGCCCCCACCTCAGGAGAAAAATCGAGAAAAATCGACAGACATCATGGACACTGATTACGAACAAATTTGTCGATGGGCCGGAAAGAAAGGTCAGAATGCTTTCTGGTGTGCACTCTGCTGGACACATTATGATTGGGTAGCTAGAGGCGTAGAGAGGAAATATGGAAAGGTTCATGGTCGTACCATTGTCATTCTGGCTTCGACTTGGAAGTGCTCAAGAGCGACGCTGAGACTTGGGGTCCAGTGCCGCCAGGGGAGGAAGTCCGTAACTCCACACACTGAGACTGGCACCTGCGAAGCTACATATAGGGAACGGATTCAGAGCTAGCAAACAGCAACAGCGACCAGAACAGGGTCACGACCGATCATTCTCGAGAACAGTATAATTATTTACACCGGAAGAAATCATCAACATTCGTCTCGAGGATGGAGACAATCATCGCTACAGCACAAGGCAACTGTCTCAAAACCTTAAGCTGAAGACGATGTGCACCAAGCGAGCAGTAAAATATTCATATTGCCACTAGCATCCTGCAGCACTTGAGTCGCGAGTTCGGATCCGGGCCGTCCTAGCTCACAAACTCGCAGTCAGTCAGTCAGTCGATGCTCCTCGTCGTGGCATCCCTCCCTGCTAAGAAATATTAGCATCCGGACCGGCTGTAACCAGATCTCTAGCAACCCTTCTTCCCTACTTCGCTCGCTCCCTCGCTCCCTCGTGCTCAGATGTATAGCAAGCACTGTGCACGAATCCTCCAACTTGTCGAGATTACAGTGTCATGCAAATGAAGGTTTATGTTCATATCACTGAAGCACCTGTTCAATTGGGTGTTCGAGGTTTGTCATATGGAGTTTAGAATCCTTCACTTTGGACTACTCTCAGGCACGATACCTAGTGAGTGAGTGGGATCATGGCGATTGTGAGTGCATGATCTGGATCAGATCAGAGCAGAGCAGTGAGTATTCTCTTTCTTTCTTTCTCTCTCTCTCGTCGGCTGCAGTTGCAGTCTGACAGGGACAACGATCACGATCAAGATTTATGTTCCGTCCGGGAGAGCTCCACCACTGCCCAGCGAATGCAGGCCGTCACACCGGGCACTGCCGCAGCTTTTGGGATTTCGCGAGTGGAGCCCACCGACGGGAGTGGCCCTGCGAAGAGCCTTGTACTTCTCGGACACAAGGATCTAGACCCCCATGCGCCTGGTGCTAGCCGTAGTAAGAACGCAAAGGAGGACAGAGCTAGCTAACTCAACTTAATTGCAGCTTCATGCACACCTTTGCTGCTGCTGCTGCCGCCTGCGTGGTCAAGCAGTTGACAATCGATCCAACATGGATGGAGTGCTGGAGAGTCCGGATGTGGTTCAGCGTGATCCATGTTGAGGAGAGCTAGAACTTCTAGCTCTCCTCAACATGCTCTCAGCTCTCTTCCTCTCTTCCAGGGAATATGCTCGTACCAACCGACAGTTCTAGAGCATCATCCACAGCACGCACGCATGCAGCTCGAGCTGCACCGCTCGGAAATTGACTTTCTGATCACCGGTTTCGATACACCCACGGACCTGCATCTACACCTACAACACTCCGGGCTCGTCGTCCATAGCCAGAGCTAGCTAGGGCTGCGAGGGTGGTAGGGGTTATGACCCTCGCAGGCCCCCCCTCCCTGTTCAAACTGCCGTGTCCGCCTATACTAAGCCTTTTTGTCTGTAAAATATCACTACTACCATGGTGGCAACTTGCAAAGTACAAATGGTACCATGGCTCGAGCGGCATGGAGTCTAAGTGGAGGACGAGGAGCTGCTGCTGCTGCTGCTGTGGGTCCCCATGCATCTTTTCTGGCTACAAACGCCAGAGTCTCCAGTCGTCACAAGGTTCTCCCCATGACGAAACCACCCTGGAGTTCGAACATTGTGTGCTGCGTCGCCATGTCTGCGCACTCTAGAGCGCCTTTCTACAGTTTTGGTGGCACGGCTGAGGCATCATCTGATGCATCCGGCTCTGGTGACAAGCGAGAACTGACTCTCGTTCTGGTCTCTCTGTTACCAACCCCTTTGAATCTTTCGCCATTTTGCCTTGAACCCAAAGCTCATCAGGAGTTCCCAGTTATGGGCTGCAATGCATAGATAAAGTTTGCCTTGATCTTGCCACTCATTTCTTGATCATTGCGCAATAATTTAATTATTTTCACGGAAAACTTTTTGAGCCCTCGATTGTTATGATGATGTGTCCTCTTTACAACCCGCCTGGGGGTAGGGCTAATAATTTATGCTCATTTGCAAGTCATATACTAGAGAGTTTATTTTCTGCAAAAGCTGTAGCTTAAAGAAGGTGTGATCATCACTGAAAAGTGGCCATTTGGAAAGCCTTGCAAGTAAACACATGGCTACTTTCTTTGCACAAATTTGGGACACAAGTATCTCTTGCTAAGGTCTGCATGCTTTCCACTCACGAGAGACTTTATTTTCAATTCATCCTCCGTTGGCGACGACCCCACAGATTGAGAGCCTCATTATTAAAGGTCACCGTGGTCAGTCTTGAGAACAGTGATCTCTGCCCACGTCATTGAATGTGAACGTCCATATGGCCCCATATGACTTCCAAAGCTGGATCCCTTGGCATGTGCAGTGTATGTGAAATGAATATATCGCTTTCAGTGGCAACATGAAGGTGATTCGCCAGAAACGTTCTGACTAGATTTCATCTGACCTGAAAGGTACTGGATCCTTCCTGGCCCAGTTTGTAGAGCTCAGATTTTAACTCTGAGTAAGAGCCTTAGGCCAAAGTTGTTGATAGGGTGATAATATACTTCTTCAATATTGAGGTCAATGGTGGACTATTACTTTGAGCATTTGTACTTTATTTCCAGATTGGTGCACTCCACTGAAAATGATTGAGTGAATCGATGAGGACATCCTCAAAGCTAATGCAACTAGAGAGATGATGGCTGATCATAAGTACTAAGCTCTCCATCATCAAGGTTCTCGAGTGCTGATGCGATGTCCGAAATCAAAAGGTGGAGTATCTCTTCAGCATTAGAGACTTTCAAAGGCGGCAGTCAGTCAGGCAGACAGGCAGCAGACCATTCCCGAGCATGGCCTGGCATGGCATGCTTGAAAGGCTCCCGTCCTTATATCTTGCTTATTAACTCCTTAAATCTTCTCTCCTCTTCCTAACCAGCTGCGAACTTGTCATGCAAATCCACATACAAACGTACTTTATGCGACGGCCGGGCCTATAACTTGAAATATTAAAAAATAACAATAAAAATTAACATCGATTTCTCTTTAGATGCACTGGATCCTTTTCCCGGCAACTTCAAAGATCACGAGCTTATCTGTCGGTCTTTTAAACTTTGAGACTGTTGTGTTCGGTAGCATGTTCACTGTGATATGTTGCTTTTCGGCAACCAACCCATCAACCAAATCGTGCCAACTGAATCTGAATGGCCGAAGCTCCTGGAGCTGGAAGTTGTTCACTGTGCTCGCTCGCTTTGGTCTTTTCAGATTTTTCGGTGGGTTTCTATACATTTCTCTCTTTCAGGATCGTCAAGTAAGGACGACGAACTCATGACTCAGGTTAGCATGCGCATGCTCATTTTTCCGGAGGAAGAGCTCGACTCCATCCATCTTCAAGCCACGTAATCTGACATTCTATGCATTTGGACCAGCAGGAATGTGGATTCTGATTTTGTCCTTCATCTCTTGGGAGTCTGCGAACGGGTTGATGGATGGACAGAACTTCTTCATCGAGATTTATGATTTGGTTTATGAGAGGGATTCTGCTGGAGCGTAGATTTCTGAGGCGGTAGGCACAGGCTTTATCTGGTCGATCTGGCCTTGTAGCGCCATGGACAAAAGAGCTATGATCTCGCTTTCGTCACAGCACAATAAAGTGCATTCCTCATGAAAGCAGGCACAAGCTCTCTAGCGAATGCTGCACACTTTTATCCACGCAATGTGCAATTATCTAGCCACCCTTGGCTCCGGTTGAATGGAAAGAGCATTTGATGTCTTGTGCGCGAGTGCCACCGTTCTGGTTGATACTTTTGTTTTGTCGAGGTCACATGGCGATCCACGAGAGGAGGCAAGTAGGACAACGCCATTCGTGAGCATATTCTCTTGAATGTAGTACGTAAACCTAGAGGTCAATGCGGAGGAGCTCATATTCTAGACTTGCAGAAGCCTTGTCCCTTGGCATCGTGGTAGCTGGTGCTCGAACGTTCTGGATGAGACGAACGACGAAGAATCTCTACATTTCCAAAGCTCTTGAACTATGCTCTCTATGAATCTGGAATCTGGAGCCTGGTCACTTTTTATGCATAGTGAGATAACATACTTTTCATGAAGACTGGAATCCCTGATGTTGGATAAAAAGACATAAGACTCGATGAAGATTTGAGCCTTTTTCTGTCCACGAGCATTCGTGAGCGACCATGCTCACCTTTTTCCTCTTCCCAGACCTCGTTCACGTGTTCGAGCGGCGAGAATTAAGTACGGGAATCCACAGTCACTACTCACTGCACAATACCTGCTCCTTCCATGTGCTAATCTAAAGGCCACTGTGATATCGCAACGATATCTTGCCTTGACGAGCTTTTGTGTGTGACACACACCTCCACACGGTTGAGAATTACTGTGCTGGATTCGTCAACGGAGACTTGATTGATTGATTGACAAAGCTTGTCAGTATCCTGTCTTTAGTGGCTATTTTGGACTCGTTCTGTGGTAGATCAGGAATTTTGCCAAAGGTTGTACGTCTTTTGGCATGTCCCCCTGCTTTCCTATTTGGACACATCCGCATGGTGAACCCATTTGTGACAATTTTTGGACCTTCTGCTTGCCCTTTGATTCCAGTCAGGGGGATGAGTAAGTTCATGTTTCTCATATCTCAGTACTGGTAAGTAACCTTCTCCAGAACACGAAGAAGAAGAAGAAAGCTGCCTCCATCAATCCTGGAAAAGAAAAAATCTAAATTTGTACCAGAACATCATCAACAACAATGCCCATACATGTGATTCTGATCGCTGATACACAAATGGAGCGACAATATAGAGTTCACTTTCGACGATGCAGCAGTAACCCCTTGTAATGTTTCGTTGCCTAGCAAGCACTGGTCCCTGATATCAAATAAAGTCTGCATGATGGAAACACAAATTCAAATCTAAGCAAGCTGTTGTTGTTTAAAGTACGAATATCTACAGCATTCTGGGACTCGCGATCATTATAACTTCTGATTGTCTGAAGATTTAAAACGTGTTTCGATCTCTCTCCATCGTGGATATAGACAGAAAGGACGAGGTGAGCTTCATGCAGAGCTAGCTACCCTGAGCACTAGCCCGTTGTGACACTCACCCTCCTCCTCATCGTCTCAAAACCAAAATAATGTCCGACAAGACATGTCTGTGTGTGTGTGTGTGTGTGTGTGTGTGGCATCTGTTGCATAGTTGCCAGTTCGAGAGGCAGTGCACTGCAATGCAATGCACTGAACTCCAAGTTGCCTGGCTTGGATACCTAATTCAGCACTGTGTGATGTACTAATCCTTCCACTATTGGTTGCAGCATCACGTGCTGGGAATAGAAATGTTGCAAGAGCTGTACAGATTTCATGCCTTGCACCTTGGAAACAATCAATCAATCACTCACTCAATCAATCAATCAGCGAATGAATCAATGCTCTTCTACAGAGCCAGCAAAACGAACAGCAGCAGCATTCGTGAGGAAAAGCTTTTGTAGATGCTAGGACAAAACAAGAAGAGGCAGTACAACTTCCGTGTTCGGATGGTGAGCAAAATAAATGATTGTGCTCTCTCTCTCGCGCATGATTCATGCAGGACATGCTGCACATTTGATTCCATCTTCGTACCGCTGGTGTGACAGACCTCCTGATAACCAGGCCTGGACACACTCGAAGACAGAAGGACAGACACTGCTATGCCAGCTTCGAGGTGAATTTTTAACTCAGACATCGACACACAGAGAGACAGAGACAGACCCACACAGTCAGACAGTACCGAGTCATGAAACCAGCTGGATGGCCAGAAGGAGGGAAAGGCCTGATAACACTTGCCCCCTGGCTGCTGTCGCTCAAATCTTAGACATTTCTGCCACTTAGGCCTTGGCTTTGGGGTTGGCTTTTCACCGAATCATGGTGCCCACATTCCAGGGCTTCCAATTGAGAACTCGGGGTTCATCACAGTCACATACTTCTGGTCGACGGTCGCATTGATGTCATGGTTAACGACAACCCATCTCGTTCTCTAACGATACAGTGTTAGTGGGATACAGTACTGTACAGCGAGTGCATTTAATCCAGCCAGACGTGGCCATGGGCCCTTCGAGCGATGGATGACCC